TACTCTATGTAATTAATTTAGTCCGTTGTGTAGGGGGAAATGTCAGATTGGTTAACTGAAACTTTGAATGTAAACCAAAAATGCAAGCAATTTTCATTTTTTTTTGTTTTGTTTTTCTACCAGTTGGGTTACATAGCTTTTGAGATGCTATTTGGTAGAACTAGGATACCTTCTATGAGATCCTGGTCTGAACTTGATGCACAGGCCTGCAGATGCCTTTGGGGCAAAGGGAAATTGGAACTCTTCCTTCTCCTTAAGTTCCTGGGACCAGATTCAGCTGGAAACTGCTGGTTTCAGGAATGTACTGAGTCAGTCCGCCACTTATTTCGCTACATGGATTCCACCTAGTTAACTGATTTAATGGTCTTCTCAGTGACGTGATGCCTAGGCAGACAGTTAATTTGCTACAAATAATCATGCCTATAGGAAATTTTACTGAATTTTTAGTTTGGCTTATACAAAATGATCAATCTGATTGTTAGCTCTGATTAGAGGATCTTTTTTTTTTTTCTCATTTGCTTTCATCCTGACATGTCTGTTCTCATTATTTTGGAATATAAAGAGAGGCACAAAAAAGAACTGCAAGGATGTACCAATAATTGGCAATCTTCTTAACTCCCTTCTTTCAGGGATGCCAGCTTTGGAAAAGTTCAGTAGCAATTATAGTAAGGCTTCCCTCTGGATAAGTGAACTGAAGAAAAATTGATATATGTCCGTATTGGTATATAAGTGGTATTGTTAGGGGGAAAAGGATGTCCCAAAGCTATTTCCATATAGGCTTTGTGGACTCCACACCCACCCCAGGTCAAAGCCAAAGACACTGGGAACTCCAAATCCCATCCCCACCAAAGGGAAGGTGGCTGGGACCTGAGGGTGGGGTTAAGCAGCCAGGTGGATAGAAAAGGCAGACACGTGGGCTTTGGGGGACCCCATTTTGGGCTCTCCACCAGCTCGCAGCGTCTGGCCAGCTCTGAGAGTGACTTTGGGTTTCCAGGTCGTCGGATCGGGTAGGACGCATTAAAGACTTTATTTCCCTATTTTCTCCCTGAGTTGTACATTTTCCTCATTTCCTTTTCCCTTTTAAATAAACCTTTTATTAACCTTTTTGTGTGTGTCTGTAGTAGAGTATTCATAAGTCCCTTTAAAGCGCGCGGGTGAGGACCCACAGCCAGGGACCCGTTTAATATCGGGGTTGCTCTATAACAGTATGTGAGTGCATATGTTGAATTTGGGAGAAATGGAAATGACACTGGTCTGGATAGAAACTCAGAGAAGTGGCTGGGTTCCATTTTTCTGAAAAGAATGGAAGCTAACAAACAACAAAGAGGACCCATAAATATTTAACCCTGCCTCTGTAATCCTCATCTTTGTAAGCAGGGTTTGTATATGGGGACTTTTGCATCTGTGTAATTCCTTTGCTCCTTCAACAACTCACCTGTGTGGGGGGAATAGAGTGGGGGTGGTGTTGACAGCATATGATTTTCTTTTGAATCCTACCTTACATCCTTCTCACTGAGGAGAAATTCCTGTCAATAACATCTTTTTAGTTTTTTACTTTGTTTCGTTAAATTTTACTCTTAAGTGAGCTCACAATAAATAATAGGTGTTTGCTAGAAAAAATTAATGTAATGTAATTTACCATTCTGCTAGGCACTCTGCACTTGTCCTGTAAAGCTGCATAATTTATTCAAATGACCTGAGGCTTTTAAAATCAATCTTCTAGCAGGAAAATAACCCCCTGCCTCCAGGAGAGTGGATTTTTTTGTATTGTACTGCTTCCCATGACTGACATTTATTTGACTCTGAAGCGTATTTACATTGTTGACTTAACTTGGAGTTCTGTGCTGAACCAATAATGTGCTGTATTTCTTTCTTTAAGTAATGTCAAAATTATTTTTTTTTTGCTTTTCCCCCTTAATTTCCTATAGTTACAATTTCTTTCTTTGACTTGTGAAAATTATACTCCTAAAATTATGAAGAAACAGAGTAAGTGCCCTTTTAATCTTCTGGGAAATGTGTGCCTCTTTAAACTTTGTTTACGTCAGAACTTACTGTAATGAAGGACAAAAGCTCTCGACAAGGTCCCCTGCTCCTCCAGGGTGTTCAAGCCCAGGTCTCCCAGAGGCGACCCTGCTGCTTGTTCTCAAAAGTTTATAGCTCACCTCCTGGCTGTTTCTTTGCAAGGGGCATGAGAGGGGGCTAGAAATAGAGCAGGGTGGGAATCTGACCCATCGTGACCACTCGGGAGGCTCTGGCCTGGAAAATTCCCCTGTATGTGGAAAAAACAAACATTTGAAATGGAGGCAGAAAGGAGGGTTAAAGAGTGAAACCAGTTCCCATTTCACCTCTTCTGCTGATAACCATATGTGACCACTCAGTTGTTTCCCAAACATCAGTTTTCCATCATTTGGACAGTGCCTCAACCTGAATCTGTCCAGAGCATAGGAAGAAAACATTTGGTGATTTACTAGAACAGTCTGTACGTATATTAGGAGCATTTTCTCCATGTTCAAGCCAGTCTACCAAAAGAAACACTTGAAAGGGTGTTGTCCTAGCCTTTGAATCCTACTCTACTCGGTACTGAATACGGTATTAATGGAGAAATAGACAAATGTCAGATGGCATGTTTTTTTAATTTATTTTTTTACTAATTTTTAAAATTTTGTGTATTTTTTACATCTTTTTCATTTTTGTACAATGTTTGCATTTTCATCTTGGTTATAGTCCCCATACAATTCCCACCCACCCTTGTTTTGATCCTACTGCCTCCTCCCTCTCACCCCCGCCCTAGTGTGTCTCTGGTTTATAGTTGCTTGTTGATTTTGATTTTCACTTTATTTTAATCAGTCTTTCTCCTGGTCCCTTATTTACATTTTCTAAATTCCTGCTATGAGTGAGACCAGTCAGATGGCATGTTTTGTCTTATGTCATTTGTAATTCTGCCTTCTGCCACCCACCCTTGCTTCTTCATGAATCTCCTGCTGAACTCATTACTTTCGTCCATTCTCAGCTACTTCCTCAGAACCTACCCTCCTGTCCCTGCAGCCTGTAGAAAGGACAGGGACCCTCTAACTGCTGCCAGAAAAATGTGATCCATAGAAATGATTGGAATCCTTACACCCATCCAAGCATCCTAGGTTCTCTGGTTTTCTGTATTCACTTTGGTGAGTGCAGATAGCCTGTGTGACACAGGTGATCACACAGTTCGCCTACCTGTAGTCTCCATTTGGGGAGTACAATTTAGAAAAGTATTTTCTCCCACATAACAATCCTCCAAACCCTGTTTGCCTTTTTGAGTATTTTTGTAACAGTTTATGAATTGTCAGTAGTGCCTTTCTGTAAATGTTGCAAGTTTTCTTGATGTCAGGACAAGGGGTGAGATTAAAGGACCAGCAAGTACTCCCTCCTTGTGGTCTCTGAGATTAGATTGCTCCTTTTAATTTCAAATCTCATTTAATAGCTATGTGACCTTGCAAAAGTTATTTATTTAAACTCTGTGAGCCTTGGATTCCTGATTATAGAACAGGAGTAATATTAATAACCTATAATAACAACTACATGAGGTAGGCAGTTTTAAATGCTTTGAATATATTAGCTCATTTAATTTTCATGACTGGTTGATGTAGGTTATGTGGACATGTTAACACAACTTACTGTGACAGACCTTTCCCAGTGTATGTAAACATTGAGTCATTGTGTTATACACCTAAAACCAACATATTATATGTCAACTATACTGCCATAAAAAAGAATCTTCGTGATGTACGTAATTAACTTCATTCCCATTTCTTAGATGAGAAAACTGAGACATGGAAAAGGAAAGTAATTTGGCCAAGGTCATAGAATTAGTAAATGGTATTGAGCTTGTGAAGCCAGGGAGTTGTATCCCAGAGGCCTTGTATATGTCAGTAAGTTAATATTGCCTCTCTAGTAAATTATTGAATATAAAACATTTAACACAGTGTTTGGCACAAAACCTTAATTGTCAGCTGGTATTATCATCTACTATAACTTGTTCTTCTCTTTTCTACTTTTGTCACTCTTGCTTCAAGTAGACTGATTGTGTCAAGTTGGTCTTCGCTGCCCCCACAGGAAAGAAAACTACAGTGATGCTGCCTGTGGTAGCTGCCTTGTCTCTCACTTCGTGTGCTTTGTATTTAGACAGAGACTATTGAAAGGAGAAGTAAATATCAATACCTCTTTTCCAAGTCAATACCTCTTCTCCAAGACATGAAAGTTATATGTATTCTATCACCACCCCTCCAGCAACAAGCCAACAAAAATGGCTTAAAACGATAGAGAAATTTTAGAAATTACAGACCTCAGGTAAAGTTTCTACCATTCTTTAATAAACTGGGGTAAAAAATTCAGAAAGTCATGAAGGCTGCAAAAGATGTTGGTGGACAAAGACTCTGCTGCTAGGATAAATTCCCTAGTCTCAATTCCTTAACTTGTTTTAGAATGTCATTATCAGGAAAAAAGAAAGAGAAAATTCTGCAAATTATTATATTCTTCTTTTAAAGTAAGCCACTGACTTCAAAATTCTCTAACACATTTGTGGAAACTTCATTTTTTTGTTTGAGATTTATTTGAATGAGCTGTTATGATTGGAGACAGTGAGAATTTCAGATTAATGTTTTGCAGCCAAAAAAAAAAAAAAAAAAAAAAACCTCTGGAAAGCTGGCAAGTGTTCATAAGTCAGCCCTAGAATTATGTAGGTTGAAGGCTCCCAGTGGACAGACCGAACATATAAGAAGGAAACCAGAGATCTGGTGCTATTACGTCCCAGAGTCTAAGGGAACGAATAAGCACAGAATTAAAAGCATTCTTCAGCCTGATTTTTTAAGGTAGGTCTGCACAGTTTATATATACTCTATGTGGAAAGTAGAACATACATTAAATGAAAATATTTTTTATGGATGAACTTTCCCTTTTTCCTGTCTTTTAACACTGTATTTTGCAAAAACTCTTAAATTATTTAACTGCTGTTTCTCTTACAGGAGTGCACTTAGGAACTAGCCAAGCTGATTTATGATAACTAAGTTTTAAACTCCAACAACCAGTAAGTCTTCAAGTGGGTTTATTTTAGATTCTTTTATGTTATTTTGTTAAGTCAAGATTATGAGAGAATGAGCTGTAGATAAAAGTGATAGTTTTGCTGTTTGTTAGGAGATTCCTTGGTGTTTACTTTTATCATTGAGTAGTTTATTTATAGTATCTAAAGCAATAGTCTTTCCCTTCCTGTGTTTATCTTCAGCTAATTTTCTTTTGTTTTAAAATAATGCTGATAATTTTAAAAAGTATCACAAAAACTGGAATGTTAATTATAACATTTAAGAGCAATGTAGCAATGTTATACTTAGTTGTGTTAAATTGAAAATATAGCAAATGAAAAATGATAAAATTATATCATGATTAATCATTGATGTTCAATTCTTATTTCACTAAGTAATCAAACTATTTCTGCTTTATCCTAACTCAGATTTGGTTGTTTTTTCTCTTTCTTTTCTTAATTGAAGAAGTAACTGGATTTTCTTTTAATCGATGAAACTTAAATACCTAAATCTAAAAATAGTAGTCTATTAAAATGTGAACAGAGGGTTTTTAGAAGTATGCATGTATTTCAAAACTTCCTCTTAGTTATTTTATTATTGTGAGAACAATGGAGAGTAGAAACAATTATTTTTAATTAGTAAAAACCAATCGTAATCTCCCCTCCTAATATGATCCTTTTGCATATTCTCCATCAGTCTTTTGTACACTTATTTTTTCCATAGCTTATGTTACTTATACTTTCCATAGCTGTAATGATTTGTATATAATTAGTTGCTTGAATAAGGCATTTCTCTATGCAATAGCAAGCAGCAGTGTGAGTTCTGGAAAGTATACAGACTGAGATATGTGCTTAAGTGTTTTTGAAATATTAACTTTTCTTATTTCTGGATTCCTTCTTATTTGTTACACACATTTCCTATTCTGGCTAACCTTTTGAAATATTAATTTTCTTTAAACCTTTTGAAAATATGATAGAAGAGATGGTCAAAATGCAATTTTGTTCAGAGTTTTTAGTCCCTGATACTGCACTGTCTTAAATTCTTTGTACTTGTGAGAAAATTCTCTTTTCAAGAAGTGAAATCCATTCTTATTTCACAAAGCAAGGTCTGTTTCATAATATTTTCTATAATCAGCTACCTCTTTTGCTTTCAAGAGACTTAAAATATTAATGTCCTAACATTCTGTGTTCTGAGAGTTTCATTTTTTTCACCCACAGAAGACAGTAAGAATTAGGAGCTGCTGACATTTCAATATGAAGGGCAACTTCACCCTTGCCACCATCAGCAAAAACATTACCAGCAGTCTTCACTTTGGACTTGTGAACACCTCTGGCAACGAGTCGGCCTTTAACTGCTCACATAAGCCATCAGATAAGCATTTAGATGCAATTCCTGTTCTCTACTACATTATTTTTGTGATTGGATTTCTTGTCAATACTATTGTGGTTACACTGTTTTGTTGTCAAAAGGGTCCTAAAAAGGTTTCCAGCATTTATATCTTCAACTTGGCTGTGGCTGACTTACTGCTTCTGGCTACTCTTCCTCTCTGGGCAACCTATTATTCTTACAGATATGACTGGCTTTTTGGACCTGTGATGTGCAAAGTGTTTGGTTCTTTCTTGACCCTGAACATGTTTGCAAGCATTTTTTTTATCACCTGCATGAGTGTTGATAGGTACCAATCTGTCATCTACCCCTTTCTGTCTCAAAGAAGAAATCCCTGGCAAGCATCTTATATAGTCCCCCTTGTTTGGTGTATGGCTTGTCTGTCCTCATTGCCAACATTTTATTTCCGAGATGTCAGAACCATTGAATATTTGGGAGTGAATGCTTGCATTATGGCTTTCCCACCTGAGAAATATGCCCAATGGTCAGCTGGGATTGCCTTAATGAAAAATATCCTTGGTTTTATTATCCCTTTAATATTCATAGCAACGTGCTATTTTGGAATCAGAAAACACTTACTAAAGACCAATAGCTATGGGAAGAACAGAATAACTCGTGACCAAGTCCTGAAGATGGCAGCTGCTGTTGTTCTGGCGTTCATCATTTGTTGGCTTCCCTTCCATGTTCTGACCTTCCTGGATGCGCTGGCCTGGATGGGTGTCATTAATAGCTGTGAAGTTATAGCAGTCATTGACCTGGCACTTCCTTTTGCCATCCTCCTGGGATTCACCAACAGCTGCATTAATCCCTTTCTGTATTGTTTTGTTGGAAACCGGTTCCAACAGAAGCTCCGCCGTGTGTTTAGGGTTCCAATTACTTGGCTCCAAGGGAAGAGAGAGAGTGTGTCATGCCGAAAAAGCAGTTCCCTTAGAGAGATGGAGACCTTTGTGTCTTAAATGTGAGATGGGCATGCAGGTTATCAACATGGCTACGTGCCTTGAGATCTCCTTGAATTACCTTTTAATGGCTTTAGTAAAGTAATGTTTCCCTTAATGTAAACTTTTCTTACTCTTCTAGATTAGGGAAGCAAATGTAAGTACTTCCAAGAATTGTCTCCCCACCCCCTCTTTTCTTCATCTATTGGTACGAGACTGTCATAGGGAGACATACCCATAATTTAGAAGTAACTGGGGATTTATCTGAAATTATAATAGTAAATTGTGAATGATATTTTGGGGTTTCATCCTTGACAAATGATGGAGTTTTTTTTAAATCCACTTTTTATATCCACTTTTTATCAGGCTTTCCTCTTGAACCAAGGCCACTCTTTTAACTCATTGCATTACTTTCAAGGCATTATGCTAAGTGACACGAGCACTTCCAAATTAAGTATAATGCAATAGATTGGTACTGGATTATTCAGGCATGTGCCTTTTACTTTAAAAAATATTATATGTAATAATCCTTTTATATTTCACTTGAGCATAAGTTTATATTTGAGATATAGTTGCATATTGAATAAGGCTAGAAATAGAGTAGATCACATGTACTCCTAACTTCACTTTTTTTAATAGTTATATAAAAGTATAATAACCATATAGTCACATAGATTTGTAATTAAATGTGTTAGTGTTCACTAAACTAATAAACACATTTTCAAACTTTGTATTCATTTAAACTGTTGTTTGAAAATTTCTATGTTCTCTGATAGTTTTTTGAAAATAATAACTAAACACTGTGTATTGTTACAAAATGTAAAGGTCACTTTTTATATCCTTGACCTTTTGGATGTGGTGCTTTGATATATAAAAAGTTGACTTGACTTTTATTATTGATGCTTTGATTCTGGGTTGCTTCCCAAAAATATCTGGGTAGCTTCTTTAACTCTTTAACTTGTAATAAACCCTTAAGTGGCTTAGGAAAAAGTTAAACGAGAATGGAATTTTGATACCTAAGGAGAACAAAGACATTCAGCAATGACGAGTTTTGATATCATGCAAAAAAGCTACTTGTCAGCATAGTGCAACTTGGTTTTTAAAATATAGACCAAGGAAGTAATCTTAACCTCTGCCTAATGAATACTGTTTGTTTCAGAATTGTAAGATTCCCTGGAACTCTTTGAAGCCAATTGTGTCCTTACATCTCCTTCTCAACAGTACGAGGACTCCCAAATTAGTATGGTACCCAAGACTGAGTTACCTAGAGTTTACTTAGATTAGAGTACGAATCCTAATTTTAGAAGATAACGGATTTTAGCACTAGCCCCATATTATACCAGGTTATCTAGGAAAGTCTTAAGACCAGTGCTGACCTCTGAGGTGGAAATGAAATTTTGAAGTTTTGATATTACTGCCAAGTTCCAGGGCTATAGATGGAATAATTCTCTTCCTCCACTTTATGGGAAAGTTCTAATTTCATGTAATCTATTATTATCAATAAAAACGAATAGCTAAATGTATAACTATGACTTCACATTTTAAATAATTTTGTAAAGCATCTCATATAAATAAAATCTTCAGTTGGAAAATCATGTATGTTTACTTTTTAAATTTTAAGTACTTCCCAGTATGCGTTCTTATATCTGTATCTTCCTTACAATCCCCACAGATAGGTCTTAGTTTCAGGTCATATCATTCCTTATCTAGCTTCTCGCTGTATCTAATCTCCCTCAATTGAGTCCTCAGCCACAATTTCTTATTAATTATAACAGGATATTCCAGCTTTCTTATCATGGTCCATAAGACTGTGGGAGACCTATTGTGTCTCTGGCTTTTATTTCACTTTCTGTAATCCCCCTATTGCACTGCAAATCCAAACATCACAAAGCATACTGCTTTTTTTCAAGTTTGATTGCTCTTTCATGCTTCTTCAATGGTTCACATAACTCTGTCCTGCCCCAAACCCTTCCAACCATTCCCAACCCTAAGAACTCTCATTCAATCATGCCACCTATTTAGACTTTCAACATTCAGCTTCTGTCTATTCCTCTACCACAAGAATAGTTATATTAATTACAACATTACAGACCCATCCTCTCCTCCCTGTCCCCCCGCATTTCCTTAATGAAGAGAATTGTTTCTGTAGTTCTGGGGATTTTAAGCCTGACTCCATTTCCATGGAGCCAAGTACTGAGCCCTAAGTGGTTCCCTGAGGCTTCGATTCCAGTGGTCTTTCCTGGGACTAAGAGGAAGTGTCATTTGAGAAGATGGGACATGAACACAACTCAGACTGCAGGAATATAGACAGGTATAAATGTCCTCTTTTATCTTAAAAAAATGTGAACTCTGGGTCTCCCTAGTGGCGCAAAGGCTTAAGACGCAACCTACGAAGCTGTCCACAGCTGTCCGCACTCTCCCCTTGCCTCTGGTCTGTACCCCAGCTCTTGTATGCATAAATAAATAAGTCTTTAAATAGATACCAGGGGCCTCCCTCTTGGCGCAGGGGTTAAAGACAGTGCCATCAAGCTATCGCCAGCCACTGCAGCGTGAGTTCGATCCCCAGCCAGCCAGGGAGAAACCCACATGGCACAGCAGACCTCTCCTGCCTCGCCCGCTGCTCCCCTTAGCAGTGTATTTCAGTCAGTCTGCCTGTTCTGTTCCCCACTCTCTCTGGTGAATCCTCTCACCACCCCACACCTCTGGCTTACACCTCAGTTCTTGTATGCATAAATAAATAAATCTTTAAAAAAAATAAAAAGATAAGAATTTCAGGTAAGTTTCTCAGATAGCAAAGGAAACCACATTCTTCACAGTTGGTCACATTGTAGGGTAATGCCTAATCTCTTTTCTTTCCCATGATGCCACCTTTTTTCACCTAACCTTCACAACACCAAGCACCACATAGTAATGATAGTTACTGTTAGCTGAGCAATATATGCTATATACTATTGTGAGTATTTTATATACATTATCTTATTTTTTCCCACAGTGATTCAGTGATACTTATTTTATAAATAAGGGAACCAAGGCAAAGATGAGTCCCCATAATCTTTAAATTTGGCTCTGACAGGAGATGTAGGTATTCCTAATAGCCGTATTTAGTTGTTTAATCAGAAAACCCTAGGCTACCAAGCAGATATTTCAGAGATGGTCTTATAACCTCCACCTGCCCCTCCAGCTCTACGGGTTGCACATCCCAAACCACAGCCTTCTAGGAAGACTGTATATTTGCTCCTATAAAGAAAAAGAGAGAAGGCATGTGGATGAGGTGAAATTTGCCACTTGTCCTCCACTGTCCTTGTGTCGTGCTCCATGTACAGAACAACATGAAATAATCACTACCCTCTCCTGCCCCCTCTATGCCATATATTAACCAAGACAGGCACCTTAAACATTTCTTTTGAGGAACAAAAATGCTGACATGAAATTTTGCTCTATGAAATAAGATGATACAGGTTAACCAGAGAAATCCATCTCTTGCAATTCGCAGAAGGGAAGGTAAGTATTAATTATTTCTATTTGTCTATCTTTAAATTAGATTTAAATTAAAATGATTTGGAAAAATCCCTTTTTTCTGATCTTTTGAAGCGTGTATCAAGTGAGAATACAATCTGAAGGAAAGCATATTCTATTTTGACTTTCCTTTTTTATTTTTCTCACAGGAGTGTAGAATGAGAAACAGGTGACCTCACATATCAACAAAACAAAATCTGAAACTTAAGCTGAACTAATTACATTAGGTGACTAAAGAAAAAGAGTTGAGGTATAAGGGAAGTATAGCCCTTAAATATTTTATTAATTCCTAGATAAACTATTGATATATCAGCAATGGTGATTCGTATAAAAGAACAGAAATTCACATGTATGTAATCACCAAAAATAATCACTTCCCCTGCAAAAACCAGTGGCCTATATCTGAGCTAATACTCTGGTTTCTCTTCATATGAAAGAGTAAATAGCCTTTTGCTATAGCGGAACTGGCTGGCCTTATAGACATTGATGCTCACTTGTATAAACATACCTATGATTAGTCCACATCCTCAGAAAGAAAATTCTTTTGGAAATTCTTTCTTCAGGGATGAAGTGATTCCTTTTGAAATTAGAAGTTATTGGTATGTGTTTTTTATTAAGAATTGGAACTTTCTCATTGTTGAAAAGTTTGTCTATATAGGTAAAAATTAACCACAGAGATCATCATTGTTAGTAGCAAGGGATAAGATTACTATGTAGGTATAAATATGGACACAGATTACCATGAACCAAGAAATAACCAAGCCACAATAGAATCAGGAAAGCATTCATTAAAGACTAGGAGTCAGGGCCTCCCTGGTGGCGCAAGGGGTTAAGAAGCAACCTATAAATCTCACCGCAGCCACTACAGCACAAGTTTGATCCCCGGCCAGGGAGGTGACCCACATGGTGCAGCAGACCTCTCCTGTCTTGCCCGCTGCTCCCCTCAGCAGTGTATTTCAGTCGATCTTCCTGTTCTGTTTCCCACTCTGTCTCTGGTGAATCCTCTCACCCCCCCAAGAAAAAATTCTAGCCTGTATCCCGGTTCTTGTATGTATAAATAAATAAATTTAAAAAAAAAGACTAGGAATCATGATTCTAGTCCGTGACCAAGGTGCAGTCCCAAGGTGGTTCTACCGTGGCCAGGGCATATGGAACTTTTTTTTTTTTTAAAGATTTATTTATTTATACATACAAGAACTGGGGTACAGGTCAGAGGTGTAAGGTGGTGGTGGTGAGAGGATTCACCAGAGACAGAGTAGGGAACAGAACAGGCAGATTGACTGAAATACACTGCTGAGGGGAGCAGCAGGCGAGTCAGGAGTGGTCTGCTGCGCCATGTGGGTAACTCCCTGGCCGGGGATCAAACTTGTGCTGCAGTAGCTGAGGATAGCTTCATAGTGCTGAGACTTAACCCCTTGTGCCACCAGGGAGGCCCTGCATATGGAACTTTTAAAGGATCAGGCAGGTTGATGGTTTGAAGTTAAGTCGGTTGTGATGAAACTTTTGGACTGATTCCAAAGTTGATTAGTCTGTCTCTGATTGGGGGGCAAAACTCTCCAAACAGAACTCTGTAGTGTGGATACATATAGTCATAATCAGTAGATGATCTATATTTTATTTATTTATGCATACAAGAGCTGGGGTGTAGGCCAGAGGTACGGAGAGGGGGGAGTGAGAAGATTCACCACAGACAGAGTGGGAAGCAGAACAGGCGGATTGACTGAAATACACTGCTGAGGGGAGCAACGGGTGAGACAGGAGAGGTCAGCTGCACCATGTGGCTTAGCTCCCTGGCCAGGGATCGAACTCTGTGCTGCAGTGGCTACTGATAGCTTCATACTGCTGAGACTTAACCCCTTGTCCACCAGGCAGGCCCCGATCCACTATTTTGTTTGTTTTGTAATCTTTGAATGGCAATGACTGAGTGAGTCAGACTTTTTAATTTTCATCTAGAAGTGTCAATGTAGCAACTGTCTGCCTCTCTCTATATGTGTGTATATATGTATATGTAGTGTATTTATTTATTTTTTTGGCATCTCCATGGAACCAGGAGGGATTGAGAGAAATCTAGCTGGAGGAGGAGGAGGAACATGCCATACTCGGAACAACTCCTCCCCTCCTTTCTTAAATGAAGTCAAAGTTCAAACTCCTCAAAAAAAAAAAGTTTGTGGCAGCAGAGGTAGTGGGACTTATGTTGCTTCTTGATTGATCACATTAGTACGTGACACCTCAGTAGATAAGATATACTGTGATAACTTTGAACTATTAAAAAAAATTCCTGTTCTTGATTCTCTTCCTCTCAGAAAACCCCTTTGCCAGTTGCTTCTTCCTAAAAATCCCCAAGCCAAATATAACAATATCTATGGGATAGAGTTGCCACAGTTCCATTTACATGAAAAGTTGGAATTACCAGACCACTGACAAGCCTCCAAATTGCCAATTATAGTCTTCTCTCTGAAAAATAGTTCCCTATGTACCTTTTACATTGATTACCACTGGAGTGGTAATTCCCACACCAAAAAAAAATTTAGTCCAGTGTTTCTTGATGTCTTAACAACTTGAAATATTTGTGGATAACAATTTGAAATGATCTCCCTGGGCTTGAAATTATCTGTTGTTATGAACTGCATCACATCCACACCCCCCATTCATATGTTGAAGCGCTGCCAGAAATGCAATTGTATTTGGAAAGAGAGTCTTAGGAAGTAATAATCGTTAAATGAAGTAATGAAGTTGGAGTCCTAATCCCATTGGCCTGTTGGTTTTATAAGAAGAGGAGCCTTTCTCTCTGTCTCTGTCTCTGTCTCTGCCTCTCCTCTCTCTCTCTCTCTCTCCCCCTTCTGTCTCTCTCTTTCTCCCCACATGAATGCATTGAGGAAAGACCAAGGAAAATCTGTCAAAAAGCTGCAGTCAACAACCAGCAAGAGTTTCACTAGAAATTGACCATGCTGCTGCCCTGATCTCAGACTTCCAGAATCTAGAGCTATGAAACGTAATTTTCTGGTTTTTAAGCCACCAAAACAATACCTCCAGTAGACTAATACAAATTTTGGTAGTACGAGTAATTCTAGAGGAACAGAATTTTAAGGATGATTTT